GCAAAATAATGAAATATATTTTGTTATTTTTTTTTTATTGTTCAACTGTGGTCCCTTTCAAATCATAAACGTGTAATGCCTGACCTTGTTTAGACAGAAAGAAGGATTGAGGACAGTTTGGCTGTTACAAAATTTCCATAAATGCAGAAGATAGAGCAACACAAAGGTTGTTGTGGCCGAGTGGTTAAGGCGATGGACTAGAAATCCATTGGGGTCTCCCCGCGTAGGTTCAAATACTGCCAACAACGTGCAGTATGGTTGTAAGTGACACTTTTAACCACATGATGCAAAGTTTGTTTCTCTCAAAAACATAAGATCTCGAGGATATTGTGCATAACTTGAAGCAATGTTGAAAATCTTACTTAAGAGGAACATGTGTTGAAGATGTCCAAGTGTAAAAAATTCCTTTAAACCATTAAAGGACTTTTCCGAGGCTAATGTGTAACATGAAAGAAAGATTTGACGTCAATAGTTTTCATTCTGCAACCTTAATGATTTCGATACAGTCAAACCATAATATTTAAGGATTAATAGAAATATAAAATAATGCTCAGTTGTAACCAATCATAAGCACTTTTTGACACATTTATATTACATGCAAAATAATGAAATATCTTTTGTTAGTTTGTTTTATTGTTCAACTGTGGTCCCTTTCAAATCATAAACGTGTAATGCCTGACCTTGTTTAGACAGATAGAAGGATTGAGGACAGTTTGGCTGTTACAAAATTTCCATAAATGCAGAAGATAGAGCAACACAAAGATTGTTGTGGCCGAGTGGTTAAGGCGATGGACTACTAATCCATTGAGGTCTCCCCGCTTAGGTTCAAATCCTGCCAACAACGTGCAGTTATAGTTGCAAGTGACAATTTTAACCACATGATGCAAATTTTGATTCTCTCAAAAACATAAGATCTCGAGGATATTGTGCATCACTTGAAGCAATGTTGAAAACCTTGTTTCAGAGGAACATGTGTTGAAGATGTCCAAGTGTAAAAAATTCCTTTAAACCATTAAAGGACTTATCCGAGGCTAATGTGTAACATGAAAGAAAGATTTGACGTCAAGAGTTTTCATTCTGCAACCTTAATGATTTCGATACAGTCAAACCATAATATTTAGGGATTAATAGAATTATAAAAAAAATTCTCGTTTGAAACCAATCAAAAGCACTTTTTGACACATTTATGTTACATGCAAAATAAAGAAATATCTTTTGTTAGCTTGTTTTATTGTTCAACTTTGGTCCCTTTCAAATCATAAACGTGTAATGCCTGACCTTGTTTAGACAGATAGAACGATTGAGGGCAGTTTGGCTGTTACAAAATTTCCATAAATGCAGAAGATAGAGCAACACAAAGGTTGTTGTGGCCGAGTGGTTAAGGCGATGGAGTAGAAATCCATTGGGGTCTCCCCGCGAGGTTCAAATCCTGCCAACAACATGCAGTATGGTTTCAAGTGACAATTTTCACCACATGATGCAAACTTTGTTTCTCTCAAAAACATAAGATCTCGAGGATATTGTGCATCACTTGAAGCAATGTTGAAAATCTTACTTAAGAGGAACATGTGTTGAAGATGTCCAAGTGTAAAAAATTCCTTTAAACCATTAAAGGACTTTTCCGAGGCTAATGTGTAACATGAAAGAAAGATTTGACATCAAGAGTTTTCATTCTGCAACCTTAATGATTTCGATACAGTCAAACCATAATATTTAGGGATTAATAGAATTATAAAAAAATTCTCCTTTGAAACCAATCAAAAGCACTTTTTGACACATTTATGTTACATGCAAAATAAAGAAATATCTTTTGTTAGCTTGTTTTATTGTTCAACTGCGGTCCCTTTCAAATCATAAACGTGTAATGCCTAACCTTGTTTAGACAGATAGAAGGATTGAGGACAGTTTGGCTGTTACAAAATTTCCATAAATGCAGAAGATAGAGCAACACAAAGGTTGTTGTGGCCGAGTGGTTAAGGCGATGGACTTGAAATCCATTGGGGTCTCCCCGCACAGGTTCAAATCATGCCAACAACGTGCAATATCGTTGCAAGTGACAATTTTCACCACATGGTGCAAACTTTGTTCCACTCAAAAATATTAGATCTCGAGGAACCACATAAGATACTGATTGTGGTCTCAACCTTAATAACATGCAAATAGCCTAGGCGAGACGCATGGTTCACAATTAAGTCACTTTCAAAAGCAAAAGCGTTACTTACAACAATTGCAAGTATGCTGTCTCAAGCCCATCTGTTATAAGGGTTGTAACAAGGCAAGCCGCTTGTAAATCCGTTAATATTTCATCGAGTTAAGGGTATTTTTGTTCAAGCTGTTCAATCACCATTCTTCTGCTACCATTGAGAGAGGAGGGGTCTGTTGTCTGAGGTAAGATGGCCGCCGTTTAGCTACGTCCTCGTGCCATTAACAAATATAGCGGGCGAGGCATGTAGTATATGCTATGATATATATGGGGCGCCGCATGTAGTAATAAATGACATCTATGGACCGAGCCAGCAGGTGGCGCTGATGTAATCGGAAGTAAGCCACCGTGAGAAGAAGAAGTGCTGCCGGAAGTGTTCCCGAGGCTCGTGGATCTTCAGCAGCGTGGTCGCGGACCTACACGAAAGACATGACTCAGCTGGATAATATCACGTAAGTGGAACCAGTTCATATAACCAGAGCTGTTTCTAAGGGTAGTGATGGCCAAAGGCCACGTGACCTGGTATACTCTTATGATGATCGGGTCTGTCCACTTCTCAGGTCTAGATGGACACCAAAGGCTCGGATCTGTCTTATTCTGTCTCCTACAGCAGAACCTTGTTCGGCTTGGTTCCGCGAGTCAGTGCTGACATTTTAGGCGCCTTCGTGTTTTTGGAGGTAAAGTTTATTTGGGTAATAAACGTGGAAAACTGACTTTTGGGGACTTCCCATCATGTCCTCTACGTGTGGCTTCGGAGGACCATCCCAGAGCCGGAGAGGCTTTCCGGGAAGATCTCAGGGTTGTTTAGATTTTGTCCACAGTGACCTGCGTTTGCGTTATGTGCCATGTAACGGAGTAACGGAGGAATAGAGGCATGTAACGGAGAAATAGACAACTCGTACGCATTTAAGGCGCACGGAAACGCAGGAGCAAAATAAAAAGGAAACAGGAGTCGAATAAATGCAAGAAGTGAGAAAAAGCTCAAAAACACTCATAAAACAGAAAATACATGCTAAAGGTTTACAGGCCCAGTCCAGGGATTAAAAAGAAAGAAAACGTTTTTATGAAGCGCCTCTCAATATAAAATTAACCAAATAAACAAAATATTCCATATAATGATTCAAACATGTTTAAAATTAGAGAAAAATGCGACAATAGTGTAGGGAAAGGGAGAAGGAAAAGTCCCATAGTCATCCTCACGCGGGTCAAATTCATCTCCACATTTGAGCCATCACCATGGAGAGGAGCCGTGACGTTACAGAAGATTCAGGTCATTTACACCAACAGATGCAGAACCAGAGCTTATCCAGGTTCCTCAAAGACTAGGAGGACAGAGGAGCAGCATCTTCCCTGAGGCTCATGAACTCTGACCCTAAGATGTAAAGGGGCGGATTTAGGACTGAAGAAGATCCGGGGCTTAACACGCACACACGTGACATGCACTAGTCAACATCATATATGTCTTGTACCACATAATTTTTACTCTGAAGCTACATATTAAGTATATTCAGGGCAGAGTATTGTTCCTGTTAGTGTTTAGTGTGAGATGATAGTAAATATTCCCTTTCTTTCTCCAACAACTTTACCTGATAGTAAGCTAACTTTAGGCAAACCAGCAGCACAACAAATATTTTCAAATTAGACTCACCAGTCTCATCAAAGCTGGGGTTCTGTAGTTGTACTTTTGGTCTAAAAACGTCCTTATGTCCATCTTCACTCATGCGTTTCAGGCAGAGAGTGTAGAAGAAGCCGGCTGCTGAAGGGCTTCTTCTTCAGTGGTGGAGGCTCAGGCAGGCTGGATACAAACTACTGCCAGCTGCTCCCTCTCTGTTGGACTTTGGTACTGCATGTTACTTCCACGTTTGAGATCCGGGGCTTGAGCCCAAGTAGCCGGGCCTAACGCCACCCCTCGTTTTATGTTCGATATTCCTTTTCTCTACAAACCTTCCCCTGACCTGACCCATCTCATTGGAGAGGAGCAGTGAGCTGCAGCTGTGCTGCGCTCAGGAGCTTTTTGGTTGTTAAACCCCCCCAATCCAACCCCTTAAAGCTGAGTGTCAAGCAGGGAGGTGTTGTGTCCTTCTTTTTTTTTTCTTTGGTATGACCCGACTGGGAATCGAACCCAAATCTCCCAGTCCCCCGGGCAGACACTCTACCACTGGGCCACTGAGCCGGAAAGAGGGAAATTGGTGGATCCTGGGAAAGGCGGAATAAGAGCAGAACATAGTGGTGATGAAGGTCCCACCAAAGCCCTGAAGGGGTGAGTTTAAAGGAGACCACTGAGTCCACTGATCTCAGGCTCAGGGGGAGAGAGGTCCATAGTCTGGGGGCCACAGCAGCAGATGATCTGTCACCCTTGACCTTTAGCCTGGTGCTGCACAACCAGTAGGCTTTGATCACTGGACCTCAGGGACCTACTGGGGGTGTAGGGACTAAGAAGATCACCAATGTAAGATGGTGCTTGTCCATGTAAGGCCCTATAGACCAGAACCAGGATCTTGAAATGAACCCTGGAGTTGACTGGCAGCCAGTGAAGCTGGAGGAGAAGCGGGGTGATGTGGGTGTGTTTGGAGGACTTGGTCAGAAGCCGAGCACAGGTGTTCTGAACCACCTGTAGACGGTTCAGAGAGGTTCTGCTCAGACATATATATATATATATATATATATATATATATATATACTAGGGCTGCAACAAACGATTATTTGGATAATCGATTAATCGGATGGGGTGTCGACACGATTAATCGATTAATCGGATTACATGGGGAAATTTTTAAAAACTGCTAGGGAAACGTTATTTCTCTCCTTCCGTCACTTTATTAAACACAACATTATTAGAAAACAGTTCAATAGCAGAAAAACAACATGCCATCACCTAAATTGTCTTATAAGGTGTATAGACAGAGACCCTAAGCTACATCTATCTGTGACCTAAAATGCTTGGTCCAAGTTAAACAGCTTAAGGGCAATTCTCATCTGTTTTGTTTGATCTCATCTGTTGATATTTATTTTAAATATAATTAAACATAGACTGTGAATTAATCAAAATTGATCACTATTTCCAAAAATGACTGAAAAAATACCAAATAAAACAAAAGTAAATGAATGCCATCCTCCTTGCGATGATGCCCTGGGCAACTGCCATCAAGTCACATCAAGAAATGCTGCTGATCATTCCAATGATCCCAAATAGACTCACATTAGGCCACATGAAAGCAACTGAACCCAAAAATATATTAACCAGTATATAACTGCACTCTCACACAACACGCCTGCAGCAACAGTTAGCACTCCTCCCTCCCTTTTAAAAGCGTTTTTGCTTCTGAGGACATTGTGGTTGTAAAACCACATGTTAGTAGTCTGGCCCCGGTGTGATCAACCAGTTTCTGCGGGAATGTGACGGCGGAACCAGGGCCAGATTAACACTTTGTTGTACCCTGGGCAACAATATTCAAGGGCTCCATCATCACGACCCAAGGATCACCATAATGTGGTCACATACAGAATATTTTACTGTAATATGCAGTAAATATACTCAATACTTGAATGCCTGACAACACGTAACCCGCCCAGAGTAACCTTTGACCCACCTCGTGTGGACTGACCAATTAGGAGAGGGTCTTAACTTGAGGCCCTCTCTTCATTGGTCAGTCTGCATGAGTCTGACTCTCAACTGACGTTCAAAGTCATAGGCAGCGAAGCGTCTCTGTGCAGCGCAAAAGCCCGGGTGGACAGTTTGTTTAATGTAGGGTGACCATATTTCCATTTCCAAACAAGAGGACAGGGGATCTGTGCCTATGACGTCACACTATGGCAACGCCACACAAACCATGTTGGGACCCATTTTTTGTAAGAACTAAATTAATATCAGATTCTGCCAATAAATGGGCTCTAAAACAATTCATATGTAAATATTTTGCATATTTAATGCAAAATCTAATTTTTCTGCTTTAGTGCTGCAACAAGGTTTTATTAATAATAAATTATTATACCTTTTGTTTTACTACAGCATCGGTAAGCTTCCTGTGCACAGATTATTGAGGATGCTTGTTTCAGCTGTGAGATTAGACGATAGGATCAATGAAAAAATAAGTTGTCACACACTCCATGGAAACTTTCAGAGAATCCACAAATAGTGGCTTTCAAATGCTTTTGTTACTTTTTGCAAGTTTAGAAAAGCAGCAGATGAGACAGCATGTCTGATAATTTAGTTTTTCATCTGATAATATTAGAACATGTCAGTAATGTCTGAGGGGCTTTTATAAACACCATATAACTAACACTACTGGAGAGGGCATGAATTACACAGAGGCTTCTGGGGAGCCCAGTTATGGGGGGGGCATTTTGCCTTGGCCCCCAAAATGTCTTGAAATGGCCCTGGGTGTGTGACTGAGTTTTGAAGGTGATCTGAATTGTATCAGATGTATAAATATGACGTATAACTTATTGTTTTATACTGGTAAAAACGTGTAGTGGAGGTAAATCTACCTACATTTTACTTTTCAACACTTTGTTTTGTTTTCTTGTTTTTATTTAACTATTTTCCTGTCCTGTCTGTCTCTCATCTTCCTGCATCTCCTCATAGTTCTCCAGAAAATCTGTTGCCTGGATTCTTACTTTTTCACCTCACCAGTTACTTTTGAGCAGATCAAAGGGATCTCCTGACCGAAAAGCGCAGAGCGCGTTTTCGATGCTGCGTGAGGTGACATCACCACAGCACAGGTGATGAGCTCCGCAGTAGCGCGCTTCAGGCACAAATAAGACAGAAAATAGAGAACATGTGCGGACATGAACGATCGTGTGCTAATTATAGTTTTTTGGTTGCGCCACTTTGAGAATGGACCGTGCGCTGGAAGCAGCTGCCTGGATCGCTGCGCAACAATGCGGAACCGGTTCGCAGCAGCGCAAGTCTGCCGGCTCTCCCTCGCGCTGATCTGCGGCTCCCTCGCGCTGATCTGCGGCTCTCCCTTGCGCTGATCTGCCGGCTCTCCCTCACGCTGATCTGCCGGCTCTCCCTCACGCTGATCTGCGGCTCCCTCGCGCTGATCTGCGGCTCCCTCGCGCTGATCTGCGGCTCTCCCTCACGCTGATCTGCCGGCTCTCCCTCACGCTGATCTGCGGCTCTCCCTCACGCTGATCTGCGGCTCTCCCTCACGCTGATCTGCCGGCTCTCCCTCACGCTGATCTGACTTGCTCTGGTCTGCGCGCAACGGCAGGCGGGAAGGGGGGGGCGCTTTTGGAAGAGTTGCGCGACACAACGAATCGATGACGCAATTCGTTGCCAACGCTTTTAGTAATCGATTTTCATCGAATTTATCGATTCGTTGTTGCAGCCCTAATATATATACACACACACACTCTGAATAACAACTGTGTATGTGTATTAAATATATATATGTGTGTGTGTGTTATGTATATACAGGGTCCGAAATAAAAATTTTTACTCACCGGCCAAGTTGGCCGGTAGATGATGAAAATCTACCGGCCAAAATTCTAAATGATTTAGATCTACCTAAAGCATGTTATTCTATATTATGTTGATTCCAAACAGAGTGACAAAATAATTAAAACATCAATTAATAAGAAAAACAACTCTTCTGTCATTTTACTATTTGTTTATTTTTAGAGATGTTTTTAACTCTTCCATTGAAATCTAGTCAGAATCCTTGTTTTCTCTGTCCATGAAGTCTGGCCTCCTGCTTCTGACACCGTCTTTGTGCCAAAGCATTACAGCCTCATTTGGGTCCTAGTCCTTAATCTCTGGAGAACACAGCTGCACCATGAGAAGATCTGAAAGTGTGTCAGGGCTCATATTGGACTTCCAGTCATTTTTAACTTGCTTCATGGTGCTAAAGCCTCTTTCACACTCAGCAGTTGAGGGAGGGAGGGACAGCACCAGGTCGATCAATGCCAGCACATCAGGGCAGGAATGCTGAAAGCGTCTGTTTACTGCGATCCATGACATCTTCGGCAGCGACCCAGGCTCTTGATAAGTGAGCGACTTGAGGGCAGTCCACTGGTCAGGAATGCTTTCAGCGTGGACACCAGCGGTCTCCAGGACAGGCCTGAAGTGGTCCACAAGTGTTTCCAGTTCTGCATCACCAAAATCTAGAACAGTGGTGTAAAAAGAAGGCATTAAAATAATTAAGCATGCTGTTTTTATTCACAACCTGACTGGACAGCTCTGATAAACCAACCTGCTTCTTCATCTCCTGACTGTGGCCACTTGGTGAAGCTGACTAGCTTGGTGGCATGCAGCATCCCTACACTAGCATCCTGGAACCTGATTCATTTTCTCAACTAGCCTGTCGATCACTTCTGTCTGTGAGCTGATGAGGGTCTTGTTATCACCTGCTCGTGTTAGTGTTATTCCCTCATAGCAGTCTGCAATTGTGGCTTTCATCATGGGTCCCTGTCTGATAAATAACAGCAAAACACTTTCTTCCCCTTTTCTGGTGGAAACTTTAAAACGAAAATAACTATAAAAGTACTTTAATAAACATATCTGGTTTTGTATTTTTCCAGTACTGCTTGTGTTGAACACAAGGTGCCATGGGCCTCTGCTACAGTGATGACAGATCTCTGCAGACAGGTGGACAGGCTGTTCAGATGGGTAAGGGTGTCATGCAGGAAGCCACAAAACTGGACAATAACAGCTTCCCTAATGGTAGAGTAGTATATTCTGGCCTTGGCCTGCTGGACACCCCGGATATTTTGAGCATCAGGAGACTGAATCTAAATTTAATTTAAAGAAGAATTACACATAAATAAACAACTGCTCTCTATAGATTAAGGTAAATGTTAATAATTCTAACTAAATTTATAGGTCATTACACATTATTATTACTTAGCCAATACCTGCTCAAGGTGTTGTACAAGACCCTGGTATCCTCGCAGGAAGTGGTCCAGGGCACACAGCAGGTGTCCTACCCAACGGGTCCCACCTATTCTGGTGGGCACCAATGGCTTTTGGCCAAGAACCTGAAAGCTGTTAACTAGGTTTGCCCTGTTGAGTGGACTGGTGTGATAGAAGGTGTATAGCCCAGGAAGCAGATCTTCCACTTTCTGAAACATCGCATTTGAGCGCATAGCATCAGAAAAGCTCAATTCGAGGCGGTGTGCCATGCAGTGGATGCCAATGATGTAGGTCCGGTCTCCCTTCAACTTGCTGACGACTCAATTTTTGCTCCAGTCATTACTGCTGCTCCATCTGTTCCCATAGCGACTAGTTTGCTTCCCCAGTCATCACTCACTTCATCCATGATGTCACTAATGGCTTTGCTAATGTGTGATGCGTCTGCCTTCTCCACTGACTTGATGCCAACAAACGTTGACTTGATTTTGCCTTCGTGACTAAATCTTACATAAACCATCTCCTCCTCTTTCACAGAACTGTCTGTGGAGCCATCAGTGGTTATAGAGAGAAATTTTGTGTTTTTAAGATTCTCTCTAATGTTGTTTCTTTCTGCCTCAGCAATATAGTGCATTAACACTTTTGCCTGCTTTTCATTCCCGTACTTTGATCCCACACTTATTCCCTTTTGTTCATCCAGACTGCAAAGAATGAAAATAGAATGTTAAAAATAAAAGGATATTTTTATATTTGCATATTGTAAATAAACAATAATTTTAATCAACATAACTTGCCTTCCTGGTAATAACATTTTGTATTATTATAATTAATCAGCCATATTTCACATCTGAACTTAAGAGCATGGACATTTCAAACAAACAAAGTTTACTTACTCGCACATCCACTCAAAATCAGAAAATGGCCTTGCCTTCTTCCCAATAGCATGCACGGTGCGAAACAGCGTTTTTATTTTTGTGCTTGTTTTCTCTGACATAGCCATTAGCGCCGAGACCGTGGGTGTCACCAGTGGAGACTCAGATTGAGCCCGGGACATGGATGTGCAGGAAATATGGCACTTGCTGTTTTCATGTTCTCGAATAGTCTCAAGCTTCATCGTCTTATTTCCTATGACAAACGAGTTGTTGCAGTTCTTCTCTCGAGCGTGCTGGCGGCAAACGGTGCAGCTCATTTGCGCAGATTCTGGGTCATAATGTAGCCTGTGTCTTACGACTCCGCCATCTCCAGTTCGCCACTTCTCACAAAATCTTCTGGTTGCCACTGGTCCTGGTGGTTCTTCTTCCAGTTCAGGAAGTTTTCTTTTGGAAGGCTGGCTGACTGCAGTTAAAAACCGCCACATTTCACCGCTAGTTTTAACACGCTAACTGCTAAGTTGATAAACTGATTGAATGAGATAATCGGAAATGACGTTGGATGCGGCGCTCACGTTTCGTGTACATTTGTGTACGTTGCATGCAGGCATGCAGGCGGGAGGAGTATCACAGAAATCCATGGAAGACGACTGATAAACATAACTAATTTGGTGCAAACATTTACTCGCCAGGTGGCAGGTAGAGCTCAAAATTTTACTCGCCAAATGGAGCAATTTACTCGCATGTGGCGAGTGTTAATTTCGGACCCTGTGTATATATATGTATGTATGTGTGTGAGTATGTATATTTGTATGTGTGTGTATATATATGTATGTATGTATGTGTGTGTGTGTGTGTGTGTATATATATGTATGTGTGTGTGTGTGTGTAAATATGGCTTTTGTACTTTTTAAATCATTTTAAACCATCTTCATTTTATTGGGTTTTTGTCTTTTAATCATGTTTTTAATTTTGATTCATTTTAACTTGAAAGCTAAATTTCAAAACCCTCTAGATGTGAGGCATCAGAGCTCTAGCCCTCCCTGAATTGACTAAATAAATGACTTAAGTCTTTGATTTAAACGTTTACTAGTTCGGTTGTTTTGGTTCATGCAGTTGCGGCCTGGTTGGAACGGCTCCTTCATTGCCTTTCTGGGTTTGTTTGTTTGTTTCATCAGAAAACCAAAGACCAGGCGCTCAAAGCGGTTTCTGGAGAGCAGAGCACCCAAGCTGACTGAAAATGTGAAGAGTGTCATGATAATGAAAGGAGGAAACACAAGTCAGACCATCACCCAGGCCCTGAAAGATGTTGTAAGTATAAGTGGGTGGTAAACCGAAATTTACTGATAGCTTAACTCATTCACTGCCAATGATGACTAAAGTCGTCATTTGCATGTTTTTACTGTGTGGGCGTCGGACGAGCCCCCGCACCATGAGAACAAACATCTCAGCTCTAAAGCCGTCACGTGATCAGGAAGCAGAACATCCATGTGTTAGGAGATCGTTTTGGGCCGCTGCTTTAAAAAAGGTGAGGCGCGAACCGGAAAACCTTCTGGCGATCACAATTCGACAACGGATTATGAAAGAACGGATAACGCTCGAAATGCACAGATTCTTCCTGATGTAAGAGGTGAGTCTACTCTTTGCTTTAATAGTTTTGGCTTCGACATCATCCTAGCGCGCAACGTTCTGTGACTCTTAAAAAAACAGTGAAAACGCTGAAAACCGCTGGCAGCGAAGGGCTTTACTGATCAGGAAAAGGCTGGCAGTGAATGAGTTAATTTCTGACTCTTATAGAGATGCAAATTTTCTAGAATTTCTTTAACCGGTCATTGGCGCCCCTAACAGTTAATAACGACTAACCGGAAACCATCGGCAATTAACTTGTTAACCGATTATCTGTGTACATCCCTAGATTCTTACCAAAGTAATTTTGTACAAGTCAGTACCGTATTTTCCAGACGACACGTCGCTCCGGAGTTTAAGTCGCACCAGCCATAAAATGTATAATGAAGAAGAAAAAAATCATATATAAGTCGCACTGGACTATACGTTGCATTTTGGGGGGAAATTTTATTATTTTTCTTACAAAATCTGAGACCAAGCATTTCACAGTGCAAGACAAGTACCGGTAAAAAAAACAACAGAATAAACAACCAGCACGCAGCAGTGCACCACGGTCTCCAGCAGAGGATGGCGGTGTTTGAAACCCTCCCAGCGGGCGGGGAGAGTTCATTCCTGGGCCTGAGCCAGCCAGCAGCACCTCACCACAGGCTGTAGTAGGTGGTGGCGGTGTTTGAAACCCTCCCAGCGGGATTGCCTGGCTCGCAGCACCTCACCACAGGCTCCAGCAGGTGATGGCGGGGCAGAGGAGCTTATTCCTGGTCCGGAGCCGGCCCGCAGCAGCGCGGTATACATAATTTGGTATATAAGTCGCTCCGGAGTATGTCACAGGACCAGCCAGTCTAAGAAAAAAAAGTGTGCCTTATAGTCTGGAAAATACGGTATATTCAGTGTTAAAAAAAAAAGAAGAGTTGTGTTGGTTGGTCATGTTCATATCCCTTTAAAAAGTTTTGGCACAGACCTGATGGGGTGGAGTCACATGACCACACTTAGTCACATGACTCCAACCTATCCAGTCTAACAGGAAGGGAAGACTGTTAGGAAGTGGAGGACAATTAGAATGAGCAACATTCTGCTTGTCATCTGCCACTCAGTAGTAGACACGCTGTAGAAACGTGTGAAGACAACACACCTTCAGTACACCCACATTTTAATAAAGAACGCTGACAACTCAAATGTGACTGTATCCACATGACCCAAGCCCTTTTTAGTATACATATTTAGAATAGAAGAGACATACTTTGTGTTTGCAGGAAATTTCAGTTCTTTTACTAATAGTTCCTTGTTTAGTTGTGCATAGTTTTACTATCAGTTTTAACACTAAAAGTACTCTATTGCAATCTAGAGCAATACTACCAATAAAATGGCTGTGGAGCAGTTCTGCTGCTGTCGCCCCATCTAAGGAATAGTAACCATCTTAACTGAATCTGAACCTAATGTACCCTACTGACCCTATCACCCAGTGCTCATCTACAGTAACACCAGAGAACCCCATGAGTTGAGTCATGTGATGGATCTTTGTTACACATTGTAGATTCAATGCTGGTTGCTGTGGTTTAACTAACTACTAATTAGCTACTAGGATGGTTTTAGGACAACTAAACAGCACACCTAATTTCTGGTTCTGGATCAGCTCTCCGTATCTGTTTCAAACAGTTAGAAGATACATCATCACCCAGATTATCAGAGGGACACAGTAGACAGGGACAGAGTGAATGGAGACGCAGTGGACCGTGATGTGATGACAGCTGTGTTTGTGTCTTCCAGTATTCTCTGAAGAAACCCAATGCAGTGCTGTATAAGAAGTAAGTGATGCTGAGACCTGTCCACCATACATACTTGCAAATGGGTTGTCACCATTTTTAAGCCAAACATGGTAGGGATGCACCGAAAATTCAGCCACCAAAAATTACCCAAAAGTGCTTTTTCGGTTTTCAGCCCCAACACTTAAAGCCTTGGGCACACAGAAGACAAATGCGATGCGACACAGAAGCCCTGCGGTTTTAGGAAGTCAAATGGTCACACAGGACTCGCTAGGACACTGTAGTCACAACATCATGCGGAAACAGGAAGCTGAAAGTTAGTAGTTAGCTTCTTTATTGAAGTATCAGATCGATACTCTATATAAGCAGATTCTCAAAATCAAATGATATGGACTCGAGTGCAAAAAAAACCTGATCAGGAAAAAATTTCTTTTTTCTAATTGTTTTTGCATGCAACTCCAAGGCTGCTTATGGCGTCAGATTGGATAACAAGACTTTGTTTGGGTCAGGCAGAGATAATTTTCCTCTCTGCCTTAAAGTCTGTATTGATCATTCAAATCCTCCAGTGAAGCCAATTCGGTGATTAAACATCTCCACACCGTCCGGTGACCCTCTCCGAGATGACATCCCATTTGCGCACTAACACCGGTAACGCAGCTAAGACATTGTCCAGCTTGCGATTCACCTCGAGTAATGTCCCCGTCTGTGAGGTCTCCGCCCGGACGGTGCTGTCTATGGGTGCGGGTTGCCCTCCAATCGCTCCCGTCATCCCAATTTTACGGAAAACCAGATATCCTCCCACTCCAATCAGAAGAAATCCAGTGATCATCAGGCCAAATATCCACACATCTTTGACGTTCTCAATGGACAGCTGAGAGAGACAGATGACATTCCACTTCTTCCAGGAATCGAGCATATATCCCGCTGCATGTGTCCCGTGAGGGCAAGCGCGAGCCCCCTCCTCCGTTCTCATCGTAGAAAAAATCTTATCAATCGCGTTGAATGACCAATTAATTTAATCCATTTCTGAAAAATAGTGATTTCCAGAGGAAATGCAGAGAAGCGCTCTGTAGGCAGACGGGACAAAAAGAGCCTTGGGAAAAAGCAGATAAGGGGGCAAAGCAGAAGCAACCGTGCTCTGTGAGTGCTAGAAGAAAGAGCACTGGGGTCGGGTCACGGGGGCAGTAGCCAAAGCAGGTAGGCCCAGACCTCCCTATCCCCAGCCACTGGGGGCAGCTCCTCCAGGGGAATCCTAAGGCGTTCCCTGGCCAGCCGGGAGACAGGGGGTCTTTATCGATGTCAAGGCGCCTGGCCTCGCAAGGGGATGTCTTGCGAGGCCAGGCGCCTTGCTTACAAGAACACTGTCCTTCCTTGGTCAAAGAAAACGGTTACATGGAACAGACTTGCATCACGTTACGTAACGTCACGTGACACAGGAGATAAAGTATTTTATATGTATAAGTTCCAATATAAATATATAACGAGCCTTTTGCTTTTGAAATTAGGTATATTTTGGTTAAACTAAATATGTATAAACGAGTTACGACCTGCTAGCCACCAAAGCTGCAACTACTAAGCAACTAACAAACCATAGATAACTGTTTTGGATCTAAAAAACATTTTAGATATCAGCCCAATAGCTACAATGAGTTGACTTGCATTTAAACTTGAAATTTGCCCCGAAGTAGCTGCCGGCTTCTGACACGCCATCCTTTTGAAAATACTGCACTGTATTCTGGGAAATTTTTTAACAAAGGCTAGGCTATAAGACACCTCCCGTGCATCCTTGCTCAGCTAGCTAAACGGCTAACAAACAGAGAAATAACGCTTTGGTAGAACATGAACATTGGAACAGGCCGTTCCAATGTTCATGGCAGGTGACCAGCTGGGCCTAATTTACACTTGTCTGTCTGCGTCGGGGCGGACGCACGTAACACCGTTATCCGTCCTGCCGAGGGTTCTCCAGCTGGCTCACAAGGACGGACTGAGTCGAGCACTCTTTTCTAAACATCCGTTCAACGAGACGGAGAATGCCAGCTTGTGTGAACCACGCCTCCGTTGCCCCCTCAAAACCATAAAGAGAGCCAAAGATATCTAGCGGCAGACACAGAGCAGCTTGAAGAACTGAAGAACACCTCTCAGGAAATGACGGGAAATGTGGGTTTAGAGGTCGAGAAGAATGAGGGAAAAATTTGTGAGCTTTTTAATTGTTATTATATTTAGTCTGTGGGATGAAGTGTGCCACTTTGCACAATCACATCCTCCCCTCAGTACGGTGTAGTACTTCCTCTAACGCCCTACAGACCTCTAATACAATCACCAACACTGCTGGACTCCATTTTGTAGCTGGAAGCTACAGCACGTTGACACATGAAGAGTCGCAGCCAGTCTCTGGGTGAGAGAGGCATGGTGTGTGTGCCCTGGTGCTGTGTCAGCGGTTCCAATCATGGAACAAGTTCATTAAATCTGTCAGCCAACATTTGAAGATATTTGAAATGCAAATCCACGTCCCTCAAAACTCGAACAGGCCCTGCCTATTTGTCCCGTTAATTCGACGAAGATTCCACCAACGCCTCTCCTTTTTCCTCTTTGTTTTTCAGGAAGAACATCACTCGACCTTTTGAGGACTCCACATCCCTGGTGAGTGTGTTGGTCTTTACTTGGGTCAGCCAACCCCAAATCTAACCCCAATCATCTGGACCATTTCAGGAGTTTTTCTCTAAGAAGTCAGACTGCTCTTTGTTCCTGTTTGGATCCCACAACAAGAAACGGCCCAACAACCTCATCTTTGGCAAGTTCTGACTGTAGAGTAATCCCAACTCATTAAGTTCTTGCTGCAACTGTGCAGTGGTGGAGTCTCACGGCTGAAGGTGTTTGTGTGTTTCAGGTCGTATGTTTGACTTCCATGTGCTGGACATGATAGAACTTGGAGTGGAGAAGTCTGTCTCTCTGAGTGAGATTAAGGTAACAGTTAATCGGTTCCCCTCATGCGTCTTTAACCTGCTGTGGTGATGGTTGCCAAAGTTCTGACCCACCTGAAGCTCGTAAAGCACCGAATGTGGTTACACCGCCAGCTTCATCAACACCTGGGGCCTCGTTTATAAAGCTTGCTAGCGCACTAAAAAGGGTCTTAAAATTGTGTACGAATTTATTTACGCAAACTTTGACTGTAATGTTACTTGGTGCATTATTAAGCAATAGTCAATTATTAATAAACTTTAATGAACATTAAAGTATTAACTGCTTAATCAAATTATGTAATGCATTATTAAAGAGACTGTGTAGTTTTTAATCTCATCAAAATGTTGTTGGAAATGAATTGAATGATGCCCAGTTGTTAAAAACTCTTGGTGGCTTCATAAAAATCATGTCTAAAATACATCAAAGCAGGTCAAGAGGTTGTGCTCCCAGGGCTTTTGACCCTAATGGCCATCTGTTGGTAAGGTCTTACCTGAACACAAAAATACCGCTTGCTTGGAATGATTTTTGTATGAATTGTCACTGGGGCTGCAACAAATGATCATTTGGATCATCGATTAATCGGATGGGGTGTCGACTGGATTAATCGGATTAATCTGGAACATTTAAAAACTCTCCTTTAGAGATAGGGTGAGAAGCTTTGTCATGCGGGAGGGGCTCGGAGTAGACCCGATGCTCCTCCACATCGAGAGGAGCCAGTTGAGGTGGCTCGGGCATCTGGTCAGGATGCCTCCTGGACGCCTCCCTGGTGAGGTTTTCCGGGCACGTCCAACCGGGAGGAGACCTAACGGTAGACCCAGGACACGGTGGAGGGACTATGTCTCTCACCTGGCCAGGGAACGCCTTGGGATTCCCCGGAGGAGCTGGCCCAAGTGGCTGGGGAGAGGGAAGTCTGGGCCTTTGACTTAGGCTGCTTCCCCCGCGACCCGACTCCGGATCAGCGGATGAAAATAGATGGGTGGATTTAAAAACTGCTAGGGAAACATTTTTTCTCTCCTTCCTTTACTTTTTTTTAACAACAAAACATGATTACAAAACCGTTCAAAAGCCCCTCCTCCACAATAAGGTGGCAGCCCGGGGAGAGGAACCTGGGCTGCCAGTAATAAGCTACTGGAAATGCTAACATTTAATTTCAACTGCAAAAAATGTAACGGTGACATTTATTATGTACGGGCTAGCAATAATCCAATTTAAATTATGTCCACAGATAGACATGTGTGTGTAAATTACATGCTACAGTGGCTTGCCTTAATCCTGCTGCTGTGTTTAGCCGAGCAGACTCGAACCTGACAACAGCCGTTCTGCTCCATAGCGCTGCAGCCAGCTAAGAATAAACAGAATAGTGAGGACTTATGTTCCGCTTGTAGCGTTTAGATGTTCTTAGTTTCATGACCATCATGTTTTTTCAGAACCCCACCTGATCGTGAGCCTGCTACCCGCTAGCATTAGCTAACCGCCCATAGTTGCACTTTTGATCCCAAACCCTTTGTGTCTTTGCTGGTTTCTGTTTTCCTCCACACCACCTACATTAGCTCAAGTGTGTCGCTCATCATCAAAACACCGGCTTTCTCTCTCGTCCTGATCCACCTCGGTCTGCTCCGTTGCCTCCTACACATCAGCTGCGCACATTGACTGTTAATAAAGGATTGCGCAACACGAAAAATGTTGCACAAATCAACGAATCGTTGACGAAATGTGATTTTTATCTATTTGTTGTTGCAGCCCTAACTGCTGAGTCGACGGGAAAAATACACATCATCACTTTAAGAAGACCCCTCCTTCCTGGCTCTTTGTCCTAACCTTAAAGTTTCCATATCATGAAAAATTCACCTTTTGGAGCTTTTTACGATGTCATTCCCTCATGAGAAATACCCCCAAACCCTTTTTGGCTGTATTCATGTGTGTTCCTAGCCTGGCAAGCCAGACTAATTGTATATATATAATTAGTCCAGTAGCTCCATACCATACCATTGGTATGGTGGTATGGAGAAGTCTTCTATTGTTAGCTGTGCTATTGAAAAGTTAGCTAATGTTCTCGCTGGTGTTTATTCTGAGGCCTCCCGGCTGGCGTTCACCCACTGAGTGCTATGTTTTTGTCACTCTCTTAGCTTTCTCCCTTTGTGGTGTTTCTCGTCTACCGCTCCACTCTGTGGCTCGCTATGAGCACCGTGTTTGAGTCTTCTAAGCAAGAACCTGCTTTGCATCCCTGTCCTCGGGGTTGTGGGTTCTTTCTCCATGAGAGACCTGCACGAAGCATGTTCTGTCTGCCTTGGAATTCTTCATGCCAAGAGAGCGTTTTCGGACCCAGAGGCGTGCGAGGTGTCACAAGTTTTAGCGTTTCTCCAACGTCCCCCGTGGGAAGCTGCGGGGTTTGCAGCAGGACCCCATGCTGTTCAATTCGGCTGCAATGGCTTCGCTCAATTTCAACGAGGGCAGCCTTGAGAATTTGTTCAAGTGAACAAATTTTAACTTAAGCTGTAACGTGTGGACATTTGTACATTGTGGGGACATTTTTCTGGTCTACACAATGCTAAGCACACTAAAACTTGGTTTTAGAGGTATGGTGTCAAATAACGTTTAGTTCAGATTAGTTTCGATTAGGGTTAGGGTCAGAACCCCATTGGCTAGGGTTAGGGTATGGACAGTGGGGTTACAGTCAATACCATGCCAGTTTATTTCTGTAGTACATTTAAAATAGAGCATGGGAGCCGCCCAAAGTGCTGCACAGGCTGCATCAATAATAAAAACTGACTAATGGCAAAAACAATGAGGATAAAAAAAACTGAACAGTAATAACAGATATAACCAATAAGAACAATAAGATACACATTAAAATAATAAAACAAGTCACTGTCTAAAAGCCAAGTCGTAAAAGTAGGTCTTTAGATGAGAATTAAAAGCCACCAAAGAGGGAGCCTGCTCAACTGTAATGGGAAGTGAGTTCCAAAGATAACTGATTGATTCAGAAACAGGATATTATAAAAGTTATTTAATACTTTAAAATTATTCCTCCCTTTGGCAGACACTTAGAGAAGCTTATTTCAATTATTACGTGAAGTATGTATGTTAAAATGACACTGTGTACTTTTCCTGGCGATAGGGGGCAGCAGATACCTAAATCGTTGCAAGCAAGCAGTATTTTTGTGTTGGAGTAAGGCTTTACCAACGGCTGCCCATTAGGGTCAAAAAGCCCAGAGGAGTGCAAACTCCAGCAAAATAACAAGCACATCAGACTCCTTTTCATCACTGGCAACAAGTGAAGAGGTAAATGTGTAAAACAACATTTAAGAATGGCAAAAGTTTTGTAACCGTTTGTTACAAATCATTAAATGCTTTTGTCCTCACAAGCTCCCATAGAAGGAAACATGACATCTAATATGGCGTCGCCCAGAGACTTAGACCCGCTCCCATGTATTTTAGACCTGATTTTTATGGTTATATATTACAAAGCTGCCAATATTTTTCTACATATGGGCACCATTTAATTCATTTTCAACATTTTGATGGATTTTTTTCAGAAACGAATGGTAAAAACTACACATAGTCTCTTTAAACAGTCATTTGTTAATATGCTGATATTAATATGTGACATAACTGATAATAAATCATTATCAAATCACCAAGTAGACTTGTTTGGTGTATTAAATGTCTGAAATAAGGCATTTCAAGAATAAACATTTCTTTTGGTTCATTCATTACTGTAAAGCAGTCAAGACATTATTAAATCACCTAAGGTAAAAAGTCATTGTAGATAAAACAAAACATAATTGTAAATCACTTGTAAAGTTAGGAAATCATTTATGAGATCAAATCAGATTCTTCATTAACGTAATAAAGGGTTAGGGTTAGGAGGGTTAGGGTTGTGAGGAACCTTGTGCATCTGCAGGCAATGAAGCAGGGGAGAGATTATTAGATGACGTCTCCAGATGGTGAAGCTAGAGGGGGTGTAACCAAGATATTTGTTATTGTATGAAAAGTACACCACATTCTGGGCAGGTGAAGCCGGCTGGACATTCCTTTGACATTGAAGCTTTCTTGTGTTTCAGACCAGCAAGTGTCCTGAAGGAACCAAACCCATGCTGGTGTTTGCAGGAGAGGCTTTTGAGTCCGACAACGAGTTCAAACGAGTGAAGAACCTGTTTTTAGGTACATGGGGGTACATGCTCACAGGTATGGGGGACAACTGTTCTGGTGGACCTGGAGTGATTCAGATTCTTTCTTGTTCAGATATTTTCCGAGGCCCCACTGTGTCGGCGGTGCGTCTGGCAGGGTTAGAGCATGTTTTACACTTTACAGCCATGGAGGGGAAGATCTACCTGCGCAGCTACAGGTACGGAGTTTGGACCTGTTCCTCAGCTCAAGATTAGTGTCTGCTTACACACCAAGCTCATTAAGTGCTGGTTTGTGCCTGCAGGTGTTTGTTAAAGAAGTCTGGGTGCCGCACACCAAGGATTGAGCTGGAGGAGATTGGGCCATCGTTGGATTTGGTCCTGAGAAGAACACATCTGGCATCAGATGACCTGTACAAGCTGGCTCATAAACAGCCCAAAGCTCTGAAGGTAAAGAAAGCTAAGGTCCTTCTGAACCAGGTCATTCAACTGAATGAACGTAATGGGGGTTTTCCAACAGCACTACTCGGGTCCGTACATCGTGGGTTCATGCAGATCACCTCAGTGCCGTTGGTTTTCCCTGCCGTCTTTTTATTAAAAGTTTTTAACATATTTTCCTTGAACATTCAGCACAAAATAAAACCCCCAACTCCACCCACCCCGAAAGACTCGATCAATTACAAAAATTGCCTCTCAGAAATCAGGGATTTGTGGATGTTCTTTAGGACCCTGTGTCAGACCAGATCCGACGACCCAATTGAGCCAACTTCCATTTCTGTTTCTAAACGTAGCGGTCACACTTTATAGCGTGACGACTGCAAATTAACTATGACCAATAAAATGTGATGATTCCATATAAATATGAAATATCAACCTGATTGATCTTTGAATGTTTAATCAGAAGATTATAGTTACTTTTACTTTTTCAGGGACCATAAACTCACTTCATATTAATTCAAACAGTCAAGTATATAGTTAAAAAGGAATTTTATTCTTTTCTAAACTAGACATGACAAGATATGAGTAATGAGATGTGATGGAGTGTGATGTGTAGGAGGTGTGATGTAAGCTAGATGTTTATCAGAATCTTTGTATCTGAATGAAATCTGGGTGTAAAAGAATTTGTTGTCTGCCATAAACTAGAGAGTTGATTATTAATAAAACAGCATCAGACGCTCTCTGTTGTGTCTGCAAACCCTGGCTGAGACCCCCAGCAGATCCGGACTGTCAGAAGTCTGGTGGACCTCACGGCACCTGAAGCCAGCAGATTAACTTCGATACGACCGTCCGGTCTTGAGATGTCTCCAGGTCACAACAGTAGCTGGAATGCTTGTTTGCGTCCAAAGTGGATGTGGCTCTTAGGCAGCCGTCTGGCTGTGTCAGCTTGCAGCGTGCAAACAGGATTTGACTGTATGTCAAAAGAGATGTCTCAAGGATGCTTGTTCCGAATTGGCCGGTTCGGAACTCCGCTAGAAACTGAATTACTCGGGTAGTAATTCTTGTTTTATTAACCCTCTGGGGTCCATGGACGCGTATCCGCGTCTTTTGAACAGTTCTGATGTGGGACACTGTAGCAGCAAGACTCCGCCTCCCTGAGTTTCGGGTTCAATTCAGCTTTAAAAAGGAGATCATAAACTACACCCCAGTTTTTTAATTTCTTTAATAGGCAACGTAAAAGCGGAGTTATACTAAACTAAAAAAACGACCTATTTATAGACAATCTGATAACTTGTCAAAACAGCAGTTTAGTGATCCGTGAGAGGGAACGTGCTTGTGAACATAAAAAAAACACAAAAACATGAGATCCTGTTGCTGTTGGTGGAAGTCTCACATATTCAGTTGATAAAAAGCATCATTATGTAGCTGAGAGAGAGAGGAAGGCCGCACGAGTAACGAGATGTGCGCAAAAAGGAGCCGCTTCGCGGGGAAAGGAGTGGCACAAACGGAGTAACAACAAACAATTACACAGATATTGATGGTAAACTTCATATTTTGGAGCGATCCGGACAGATATATTGTCTCTGCAGTTTAGTAGGCTTTTATTAGGCTTTAATAAAGGATGATGAGAAGGATAAATGTCCACCAGGCAGTTCAGATAGTACGGCTGTTTTTTGAACTGGAAGCAGAGGAAGTGGACGGAGACTCACAGCCGGAGTCTGAGACGAATAGCGAGGATGTTGATGACGATGTGGCAGATCCATCCTTCCTCATAGAAGAGTTGGGTCATGATGAGGTAGTGGATGAAGGCAGAGATCTAGCTCCTCGGAGATCCAACAAGAGGAGTGGGCGGCGCCGCGCAGCTGTCAGATCTCGATCTCCGCGGCGTGAGACAGAGCCACTCCCCACTCCAAAATGCATGTACATTATTGCCAAATTCATAACATACGTATAAATACAGATAGTCCAGGTTGTCCTGAAAAAAAATGATACCCCATATGGCAATATTTATTGTTTTTATTAGAAAATACAAAAGAAAAACCAAAATGAGTCAAAAACGGTGATTTACACCCTGGACCCTAGAGGGCTAATAATTAAAAAAAAAAATTGTTATTTGCTATATTTATTCATATTTTTTATAAATGTACTGTCTAGATTACCATTCTAAATTATAAAAAACATTCGTCATAAATGTTTGTTGGTTTCACAGTAACGGGGGGGGGCTGGGATCCTGTCTTCCCCAGCGAGAGCCGCCATCTGGTGCTCATCTACTGTACAGTCACAGGTGGGAGGGAGATCTCGGGAGAAGCAAAGAGTACATTGACTCCTACAGATTGATGACCTCGCCGGGCTGAAGTCCCCAATCTGAAGGGGGGGGTCAGGTTTTCACAGCATCTGTCTGCATTCCTTATAAGACCAATCAGATGTGATGATTCCATATAAATATGAAATATCAATCTGATACTCTTCCTTGAACCGTCACCTTATCGTGGTGGAGGAGTTTGAGTGCCCTAATGATCCTAGGAGCTATGTTGTCTGGGGCACTTTGTGCCCCTGGTAGGGTCTCCCATGACAAATTGGTCTTAGGTCAAGGGTGAGACAAAGAACGGTTCAGAGGATCTTTCATGGATATACAATCAAATAGTCTGAGTGCCCGCCCCAGAGGGTTACTGGGGTTCCACCCCGGAGCCGGGCCTGGGGTTGGGGCCCGTGAGCGAGCGCCTGGTGGCCGGGCTTTCGCCCATGGAGACCGGCCGGGCCCAGCCCGAACCGGATACATGGGCTCATCCAACTATGGACCCACCACCCGCAGGAGGAACATGAAGGGTCCGGTGCTGTGTGGATCGGGTGGCAGACCGAGGCGGGAGCCTTGGCTGTCCAATCCCCGGACAACGAAACTGTTTTTTGGGATATGGAACGTCACCTCGCTGGCGGGGAAGGAGCAGGAGCTTGTGGCAGAGGTTGAGCGGTACCGGCTAGCTATAGTCGGACTCGCCTCGACACAGAATTGGCTCTGGAACCCAAGTCCTTGAGAGGGGTTGGACACACTCCTTTGCTGAAGTTGCTCCGGGTCACAGGCGGAGGGCTGTGGTTGGCTTTTTGTTAGCCCCAAGACTCTCTGCCTGTGTGTTGGGGTTTACCCAGAGGGACGAGAGAGTAGCTTCCCTATGCCTTTGGGTCGGGGAACGGGTCCTGCCTGTTGTTTGTGCTTATGGGCCAAATATCAGTTCAGAGTACCCACCCTTTTTGGAGTCCCTGGGACAAGTGCTAGATAGTGCTTCATCAGGGTACTCCATTGTGCTGCTGAGGGCTTTCAATGCTCAAGTGGGCAATGACAGCATGACCTGGAGGGGTGTGATTGGGAGGAACGGCCCGCCTGATCTGAACTCGAGTGGTGTGTGTGTGTGTGACGCATAGTGAGGGTCTGCTGGGAACGCCTGGCAGAAGACCCTGTCAAGACGGTCTTCAACTCCCACCTCCAGCAGAGCTTTGACTGCATCCCCAGAGCAGTGGGGGACATTGACTCAACAGCCACAGGAACATTATGCTGTTTCATGATATTTAATTAATTTTTGGACCAAAGTCTCTCGCCAGTTTATGCTGCCCAATCTGTGTGCATTTAGAATTTCCATGACTCAACTTCTGACAGTGTAATGGTTAACCTGACAGTTGGTGCTGATGTGCTGCTGATGTGATGGTCCTAATCAGAACATCCTTCTGTTGGCTTATTCCTCATGGGTCAAAAGTCACTAACCTGCTGTGTGTTTTCTTTTCTGCCACAGCCAAAGAAGAAGAAGAATATTTCACGTGATGCCCTTGGTTCGACATTGGGCCGGGTACACATGCAGAAACAGGATCTGTCTAAACTTCAGACACGAAAGATGAAAGGCTTGAGGAAGAGGAGGGCAGAGATGGTTCCTGACAAGGACATGCGCACTCCCAAAGAGGCCAAAGTAGAAAGCTGAAGCCACGGAGATCTTGGTCTAGACGAGACTTCACTCAGGGCCATGTCCTGAGCTCTGATCCTTAATCACGTCGGGGTCAGATGGTTCTGGTTCTGTTGAGTTAAACAAGCATCAGGAAGTCCTGATCAACTAATGTTTACTGTGGCAAAACCTCAAAACTCTCCTGTGGTCAACTTGCATTTTACTTTTCTATGATTCAAACTTTGAAATAAAGAACCCCAACTGACCTGAGCTGTTGACTTGTTTACATTTAGAACTAGGCCTTTATCAGCAGTGCGCCATAGGCTTGCCACAAACTTCTATTTGTCAACTAACTGGATCATGTGTAAATTGTTACAGCATGCTGCTACGCTGATACAACAATCATTAGCTACTAAGTGTTATCTTTAAGTGTTATGTGTCGTCTACAAAATAAGACGATTTAGATAAATAGTTCATTCAAAAACTTTCAATGAGCTTTGCAACTGGTGGAAAATAAGGAAAACGGCACAGGGCTTAAAGCTTTCATAGCTAATCTGCAAACAAGCTAGGTATTGAACGCAAACTTGGCCGTTTCTCAATGTCAAGGTGCCTGGCCTTGCAAGGCGATGTCTTGCGAGGCCAGGCACCTTGCTTACAAGGACACTGTCCTTCCTTGGTCAAAGAAAACTGTTAAATGGAACAGACTTGCTTCACGAGACCGCGGCGTCCACTGCGGTAACGTAACGTCACGTGACACGGGAGATGATGTTATATTTTATACGCGTAAGTTTAAATATAAATATATAACAAGCCTTTAACTTTTAAAGTTAATCTAAAAGATGATCCCCATATCAACAATAGATCCTCCATGGACCAGTGGAACTTCCGTGCCATCCTGGATTAGTGTAAACGAGTCAAACTAAGGAATTACTCCAGCATCAGGAAGATTTATTCTGGTAAGCTATTAGTTACAAATTTTCCAGAGTTATATCAATAAATACATGGAGCTGTAAAACTGGCATCTGTAGATTAATGAATTATATTTGGACACATGATGGAGCTAAGACCAGCTGAGAACTCCTCAGCTTAGAGCTCCGGGTGTCATGAGCCGAGGTGAGTACTCCTCTCACTAAACCATCTGAGTGTGTGTTTGCAGGAGAGGGAGCTACAGCTGCACCTGGTCAGCAATCAGTGGGTCTGCTACTTAAGGTGGATGGAGAACACAGTTCGACGCTTTCAGTTCCTGCAAGTCACTTGTCCATTCCTCCCATTGAGAACTTAAGTTTGCTAGTAACTGATCATCCCACCCTATGCTCTTCTGGCATAACTCCTGGAGAATGGACTTTCCTTTTAAGATAAAGGGAGATACAAGGCCAAGAGGATCACAAAGAGGGGAAACTACTGATAGTACACCTCGACGAGTTAGAGGATGGTCTTTCGCTGCAATACTGTAACCAAAGGAGCCATCTTCTAGTGACTACTGGATGCCAAGTACGCGTTCTGTTACTATGTCTGGTTTTAATCTCATTGGTTTCTTTGCAACAGCTCTTTCTGATGGAGCAACACAGTCCAGTACTTCCTGTTTGTTCGAGTTAAATCTGTAAACTCTCAATCCCTGTTTTGCACAAGTCTTGTGTTCTGACAATCAGATTTGTGGCTTCTGTGACTGATGGAACACTAGTTAATCTGTCATGCACATAAAAGATTTCTGCAGAAAGTTTAATGCTAAGGGGTAGCTCATGCTATTTTGCGGTGCCAAATGTTTAAGACCAAAGTTGGCACAACCTGGAGAGGAGACTGCACCAAACAGATGAACAGCCATTCTATACTCTTTGGGTTCCGTATTTAATTGACCCCCCCCCCCCCCCCCCCCATAAAAACCTGAGATAATCACGCATCTCTGTGGGAACATAGAACTGGTGAAACATCTTTTCTATGTCACAAGTCACTGCAACTGCTTCTTGTCTAGAATGACAAATAACTCCCCCTAAGGAGTCCATCAGGTCTGGGCCAATGAGTAGAGTAATCATTTAAAGACGCATCCTGAAACTTCGTTGAACAATCGAAAAGTATTCTTAGCTTATCTGGTTGCTTTGGATGACACACCCCATGATGGGGAATGTACCATACAGTATTTTCATTGGAAACAGGATGTGCCAGTTCTGCAATGCCCAGCCTGATAGTGACTGTGGTATTGCTTATCTGCCCTCAACTTCGTCTGAAGTTGCTGTAACCAAAGAAGAGCGTTTGGTAATGCTGGTGGACTATCATCTTTAAGAGGAAGGGGCATCTCATAATGTCCATTCTTTCCTTGTACAATGGAATCTGAGAGTAAATGTAAAAAGCGAACATCCTCTTGAGAGATGTGTTTTTCCTGATATGTTCTTTCAGTGAAATCCATTTCCAAAGCCAACTGGGGCTACTGGGGACTCTGACTGAAACTCTGTGTACAAAACTTAGATTTTCCTGTCGGTCAGTATGCAGGTTTGCTGACCCTATACGCTCCATCCAACACTGTTTCAGCTTCTGTTACTACCTCTAAAGGAGCTAGAGCAAAAGGGCAGTCATAACCTACAAGCAATCCCACGTCACAATCTTGAAGAGGCTGAAATTCTTCAGCCTGCTGTTTAAGGTGCGGCCACAAGAGGGCGGTGTTCTTGGTGGGTATATGAGACTTACCTACTGGAATCAAATCTCTGGTGTAAACCTGTCGTGCCTTAAATGTATCCCTAAAACCAAGACGTGGTAAAGACACGTTCAGATGTATCTAGAACCACGTTACTTTGGGAGGATAAAATATTACATCTGGTGGTGTCTACCTTCCCTCTGAAGTGGTCTGCAAACTCCTCACAGAGCGTTTTGAGGGGCTTTCTGAAGCAAATCAGTCACAATAAAAATGCTACCAATTATGGAAAATAAAAGTTAAGGATTATTATTATGTGAGATGACTCCGGTGTAACGGTAGTTATGTAGTGTAATTTGGGGTTTTAATAATGATCAAGATGTGATGATTCTATATAAATAGAATCTCAAACTGATTGATCTTTGAATGTTTAACCAGAATTTAGGATTCTTTGCTTATTCAGGGACCATAAACACACTTCGTATTCATTCAGAGGTAAGTATATAATTAAAATAAACTTTATTTTCTAGAATAATTATAACATGACAAGTTGTGAAACAATGTGAAATGGATGGAATGTGGTGTGTGATGATCCTTGTATCTGGAAGAAACCGAATTCTGGGTGTAAAAGAACTTGATCTGCTATAAACTAGTTGATTTATTAATAAAACATCAGACGCAATCGTGCTGTGTCTACGTACCCTTATCAGAGGCCCCCGTGGTAGATCCAGAATGTCAGGAAGCCCGTGTGGACCCCACGGCACCACTAGACCAGTCTCGAGTTGTCTCCAGGTCACAACAAACAGGTGGACTCATTTTGCGTCTCGAACGGACGCTTAACCCTCCCACTGTCCTAATGGGTGTGACCCCACGAGGAAAGTTGACCGCTGAGCAGGGTTGATGGTTTATCCCTTGAGGTCCACGTGGCAGGGGTGAGGAGTGAGCACCACCGGCCGGAAAAAACAAAATAACTAGAAACATCGACTAGACCGGCCCACTGGGAATTTCCCCAGTCTGGTCCCGGTAACCTGCACCGTCCCGGTTAGACAGGACCTCATCACGTAGAGCTAGGCTCCATTGGCGCTTATTAATGCGACTTTATTCTACAAAGTTTACATAAATAAACACCTTGGTTCTGTGGCTCATGTTTAAAAGTATCCTCTTCAACTGCGCTCCAGCATGCGCTGTGTGTGTGTGTGTGTGTGTGTGTGTGTGTAGGGCATGTTAAAATGCAAAGGGGCGCCTGATCACACATGCTTGTTATTAATTAAATAACAAACACAGCTGCAGACTAAAATACTCGTACATCATCGCTATGGTGCCCCCTCCCGCCTGGCACCCCTATGTGGCGCATAGACACTTTTTGCATCACTACGTCGTCTCAGGGAAGATGCCCAAGGTGAGGGGTTACCAAGTTTATAACCAAAGCCTAGCCTGTTCTGTAGATGCACTAAAGCCGCTTGAATACACAAGTGTCCCAGAGAAGAGAGTGATTGTACAGCGGAGTTTTTTATTGAAGCTTCAAGCCAAATGCACAGACATATTTAGCACATCTTGACCAAAAGAACAGCAAAATAAAGAATCAGAACAGCAAATGTGTCATTCAGTACATCCCGTCAGATGCAGGTAGCTTCACCCTCGTTGACCTCGTCAGCATCGGATCCCCATCAACATCCCTTAACTCGGGAACAGGGAGAATGGTTGGTCCGAAGCAGAAAAACGAAGCTACAAGTTCAGCGTTTAGAAAAACTAAAGGGGTTAAAATGTACCTGCTCCAACAAACTGGAACAGTCGGAGCAGAAGGAACCAGTAAATACACCTCCACCCTCACTGCCAATCAGAAGACAGGAAATTACTCGTCAAGAACCTGCAGTAAGTTTAAGTGAAAGTTAACCACGCCCCCGAATAAAACCCCACCCCCCACTGATCCGAGACACCGGGATGGAGCTGCTTCCAGGCATGTCACCTGGTAACAGGAAGTGCAGACAGTGGAGATGTGGTGCCAATAACCCCCACAGCCCAAAAGGTTGAAAGAAAACCGCTAGACAAGCCACGTTTCTAACCAACCGATTCACAGCAAAAAAAGAGAATAAATAAAATAAAAGGAGGGGTTGTGGAATGATCTGGGCCCACCCTGGCATGCTCAGACTGATGGGCCTCTATTGTGCTCCTGCAGGATTCTAGATGGGGTGGGAACAGACAGATGTTGGACATTATGTGAGGAAAACAAAACCGCCGCTCTGGGCAACTAAGCCGACCACGTCCGATTCATCATCTCCCCATTTGTCCCAGTGGGATGGCTCCAGTCTGGCTGGGAGTGAGGTGAGCACAGGACAGTGTTAGAGAAGGGAGGAAGGACTGGGGGTTGCTACACCTGCTCCAGGAGAGCCTCTATGAGCACCAAGAATGGGCCAGCTGGCACCAATCTGGCAACACGCTGCTCTCCTTTATGCCAACTTTTGTTAGCTTGAAACATCTGGAAGGGTTCAGATTTCTGGATTGCAGAGGTAGGGCCTGAAGTCTGTGGGAAATAGCTCAGAGGTGTGTTGCTGGGTCCAGCTTCCACCTCTGACCAACATTCTTCAAACAATTAGACCTTCCTGGGGCTCGGTGGCAGGCATCTCCTAACAGGAGCTAACCGGTTTGACTGCCATCGATGATGGATGGGACAGGCCGGGAAGAGCTGCAGGAGCTCTGAGGAGACCGACTGGTTTGAGCATGTCAGGGCCCTAGCCTAGTGGGGGCGGAAGCCTTGTCTGTGGGGGATGAGGGGGGACACCTGCAGGAAAGAACAGGTGTACTGGACACAAGTGGACACCCTCCAACAGAGGGGGTTTAATTCTTTGACATGCACCTCAAGGTCACAGCAAGAGTGGGCTAGAATATCGAGACAAAGAGATGACCTTTCATGCAAGAGATCAAAGTCACAGTTACGAGTCAAGCCGACGCTGGGGCGGAGGGGGGCGGCGGCTTTCTTTCTACGTCTCTTCTTCATCCTCGGCCCTCAGTTCTGCTTGTTCTGCTGGCGGTTCTTGGAGTAGCTTGTGAAAACAAAATTGTAATCGTTGAACTGAGCCAACTGGCGGTCCAAACGCTTGTAACCTTCAAGCTTCATGGGAGGAGAGAACACGCTGCGACACTTGGAGCTCTGGGAGAAGAGGGGAGGGGAGATCAAATCAAGCTTTGGGGAAAAATCAACAGAAAACCAACAAATGCTCCATTTTCTCACCTCATTGACAAAAAGCGTAGTAACAAATTTTCCTGGCTTGAACACCTCCACGACCTTACGGATCAGGTCATCGTACGACGTCTGGGAGAGGTTGGTTTCAAAGCTGACGTAGGAGAACTCTGGCTCTGGGGTGATGTGGATGGTCCAGTAAGTTCCCTACACCAGAACCGCAGAGCTCCATCACCCACATGTTCACACCACCAAGATGGACGACAGTAGCACCGTTACTCACGTCAGTCTTCATTCCATTCATCGAATACCCACATGGGTTGAACATTGTGGCGTCAATCACAGAACCTGGTATCAGGTCACGAATTCCACTCCTCTGGAAAGAGAAGGAAACAGGTCCGTTATTTCTGGGACTAGACCTGCGCCGCCTCCTGCTGACCAGGGGCTCTACTTACACGAGTGACCTCACTTGCAGAAACACCATCTTTCATGTAGAACTGGTCCATAACGGCTGGCTCGAGATCACTCATCAGAACTTCCAGCGTCTGATCTGCATGCTTGTTCTCCCAGTACTCTGGTAGGTCCAAGGTGAACAGGTACCTGTGGGGCAGGCGGGGGGGTTAGTTCTCTGGGCATTTCTAACGGGAGTGGAACCGCCACCATGAACTTACCAGCAGTCAGAATTTAAACGTCCCATGCAGTAGGCCGCGCCATCTGGAGGAAACAGTAATGTGGGTTAGTGGACCTAAACCCCCTCAGATCTTAGCCTGGAGTCTGCTGAATGGCTTACTTGGAAAGATCTGGCTGAGGAAGTCCACTTCTTCCTGGAAGTTTCGATGAGGGAACTCCTGATGGGTCGGCTTCATAAAGTTCTTACGGGAGTAAAAGAAGTTCTAAATGAAACAAAAAAAAAAAAACAAACATGAATTATTGGCGACACCTCGATGCTCGCGTCAGCATCAGGAGGAACGGTGCTGCACAGATGTTGAGTCCCACCTGAATGGCATCAAAACCGCAGTACTCCCGGGCCAGTTCCAGCAGTGGCACCAGTGCTTGCAGTAAGAGGGTGGTTCCACATGTCTTCAAAATGAAACGTCTCTTGGAGACAAACATGCTACTCTCACTATGTGTTAGGGGAGAGAGACAGAGAGAGAGAGAGACATGTTACATGGCCACACAGTCCTGTGTTGGCCTGGGTCAAATGTCTCATGATGACTGCAACAACTAGGGACCAAGACACCGGGTCTGGGGCCCACAGCGCCTGGCGGAGCCTCCACACCCAGCAGGGCTGGGCGGCATGGTCTCAAGTCATTCACGCATCTTGAGAAGTTCACCTCCATAACGATACATGGCCGATAACTACGTGTATGCGCAGAAACAAAAGTTGTCCACTAGATGGGGCTGTTGCTGCACATTTGCTCCAGAGCCAGTCTTGGACCTATTCACTGCAACTCATTTTAATTTCTACGTAAAATCTGCAAAACTGACTCAGGGATGCACCGATACCGGTATCCGTAAAAGTTAACCGATACCAATGCAGTTGCTTGAAAATGGCTTCACTGTAATTTGTCATTTCTGTTCACCTAATATTTTAGTTTTGTGATGATTTCCATTCATATATTTTACTTTTTATCTACCTCTACCTTTTCCTGTTGAAAGCAGAGAATAAAACCTGTATTTCAAATCACTGCTTTTTTTTGTCTGGTAGAAGTATCGGTATTGGTAATCGGTATCGGCGAGTACTACGACCCAAGTATCGGTATCGTATCGGTCTGGAAAAAAGTGATATCGTTGCATCCCTAAACTGAGTACTAAGTACTTTCGATTGTTAAGATTGATTGAAAAACAAAGCATAACTGGAAAAAGTATAAAAATAAAACTAGTCTCCTGCAAACCAAGTCCAGAAGGTAACTGGTCAAGAACTCCAGATTTTAAGACCTGTTCTGGGCGCTAGCCTGCTGCTTTCATCATGTCGAGGCATTCCCTCAGAAAGCTACTGTAAGCAATCTGTAGCTCCGGGTTTTCTGCGTTAGCGCAGAGGCAGACAGTGTTTCATCAGGGTCAAGGGTCAAGCTTGGTTTATGCTTGACGCATTTACTTTCCGCTTGGTGATGCGGCTCGCGGATGGAACGCGCTTCACAACTCGCAGCGTTTATGGTTCGTGTGGCTCGTCTCTGCGGTGAGCCAATATTCTCCCAAACTGTAGGGGGCAGCATGGAGCTCTACGGCATGCATCCAACACTACACCATAGTAGAAGTAGAAATTACTGTTTACAACACGGCATTCCAGCATTTTTAACAGCGTCCTCGTCTTTTCCGACAGTGCGAGCTATTTCTCTCCAAGAATTATTAACAACATGTTGATCACGGTGATCTCTGAGAGCTGAATCATACAAATGTCTGTATTTGCCAACCTCTGCCATACTAGTTCATGCCAGTCCGCCATGATTTTCCGCGTCCGACCGTCCGCGTGGTTAGAAAATTTCCTAGGTGCGCGGTGCGGAAAGTTTAGGCCGTGCGGAGGCGTGTGGTTGTTAAAATGATGCAATTTTGCCGCGTGGAGCCGTGCGAACCTCGCGGACGCGTCAAGCATAACCCAAGCTTCAGGGTTAACCTCAGATAGTTGGTCAGAATTTTCTCTGGAATATGATTCAGATGACGAGAACAAATATCCGATAGCCGAAGAGGTGCAGCCAGCTCAAACGAACACGTTGGACCCCGTTTGACAACCTGCAAGCCGATCTGTCGACAGCAAAGCCAACGTTGAGAAAAATGTTAAATATCTTCAGAACCAAAGTTGGTTTATTTCTTTATTTCTGTGCTTGTTGAAGAGCTGCAGGCTGTCGGTACGATTCAGTAACCTACAGAAAAATATAGCAATGTGCTGCCAGTTTTACAGCTGCATGTAGACAACACCGGAACCAACCCTAATCCTCAAAACACGTCATTGAGTCACGTATGCAGAACACCGACTAGAGGAGAGGAAATAACAGATTTATAACAATAAAAAGCACCCAGGAGACCAAACCAGACAAATCTTCATCAGAAACCCAGAGAGAACATGCCGCTTGCATTCAGGACTCACCTGAGTATATAAGCTTCCTGCTTGTCAGTCTTTGTCACACTTATGATCAAACAATGCACATTCTCCAGAAGTTTGTCCCATTCAAACCTAAAAGAGACAGAACATCACCATCACTTAGAAAACATGTTATTCAGGTTCAGGAAGCAGTGATTGAGCCACATCTCTAGGCTCCCCAAACACCCGCGGGCCAAGGACGTCAAAGACAGCCCAGTGGAGACCCACCCACTAGGGTTGGCCTTCGGACACGTTCGGCCATCAACGATAGACTGTTTGTTTTTACAAAAGCGGTTTGTTTCTTTGATTGCCGGTGAGTATGTTGGGCCACTAGTGAAGCAGATATATTAAATGTTACGAACAGTACATCGTACACCCTGACCCTAACCCCCAAATTCCTCTACCTCCGCTCTGCTCCGACACGAACGCCGGAGCAAAATCGGTCCCGTTGTAGTCAATCAGAGCAATTCCACTACTGCGGCCGTGCTCCGGCAGTGCGGCGCCGTGCGCCGCCCTCTGTTCCGGCGTCCGGCAAAAATAGAATCAATCCTATTTTTGCCGGACGCCGGAGCACCTCCGCAGTAAATGGACAGAAATCACAACCGCCCAACAGGAAAAGGAGCGGGCACAACTTCCGTTTTTCACAATAAATCGATAAACAAAAGGCGTTTTTTGTTTCATATGCACAGGTTTAACAACTTTTAACAACTATCAATGGCGGCTGAAGTTTAAATGCACAAAAGTAAGCCATAAATACGGTTTATACTATCAAAGTAGTCACACTTTGTTGATCCAAACACTGCTGATCTCTCAACACAAATGATGGGCAGATTAAACAGTTCATGCCGATGCTTCTCCCACACAACGGGTGTTTGGATCTAACTTCCGCGTTTATTGCTCGGACTGTATCGCAAGATCTCGAAAATCCCGCGCATGCCTGTTTGCCCACCTCAGGTCTCCGCACCGGAGCGGAGCCGTTGTAGAGCGGGTACCAGTAAAAATTGAGTTCGGAAGCGAGCGGCTGCGTAAGGCGGGGGCGGACCGGAGCGAAGCGGAGGTAGTGGAATTTGGGGGTAACCAAGACATTCTCAGCATCTCGCTCTGACTGTGTGCACAAGCAGCGCTGAAAAGGAGCTCAGAGCATGTCGATGACGGACCTGTGCACAATGTAGAGTGCTTCCAGATGTGGACAGTGGAAACCCTTTTTAGAGACTGGTGGACTTCTTGTTACTTCTTTTGTATAATTGTTTCCCGATTTTAAAACTTCATAGGGCTTGTAATTCCAGCACCCATTTTCAATCCAGTGTGTCAGCAGATTCATCCAGAACAACATTTAGAACATCCATAACTCTGTCTGAGGCTGAAGTCCAAACCCTTAAGACTCTAGCCTCTTCAGCAAGCTCCCTAGAGACATTTAATCACGGACGAGCAGGTAAAGGGCAAATGACCTGTATTTGTAATGCACCTTCTTTATTTAACCAGGAAGGTCCCGTTGAGATTAAAAACCTCATTTTCTGGGGAGTCCTGGCCAAGAGGCAGCAAAAGTTACAGTTACTAAGTTACAGTTACACAGACATGTTTGTACTACATTACAAAAAGCAGTTACAACACCGGGAATCCGTCTCAAGGGTTCTTGGTCTGGTTTAAAATGTATTCAAGGAGATAAACTGCGTTAATTCCCAGTTTTCCTGCAGCTTGTTCCATGCAGAAGGAGCAGAGTGAACCAAAGCCCAGTTCGGTGCGAGCAGACCAAACACAGAGTAACAGCTGATGGTTTGTACGCAGACTGTGAGAAGTTACACTTTGTGAGATTAAGTTACAGATGTAGATGGGTAGTAATCCAAGCATGGCCTTGTAAATGAACCAACGTACCAATGTCCCAACCTCCTGGTGGATAAAGAAGGCCATCCCACTGGAGAACACAACTCACCATGATGGGTCAGTGGTCTACAGTTAGTGATAAACCTCAGTGAGGCATGAAAAACCACATCAGTCTTACCCAGACACTGTGCTGAGGCATTCGTATACAAAAGGTCTCCATAATCCAGAATAGACAGAAATGTTGCCGTAACTAGTCGTTTTTTTGTCTCAAGAGAAAAAACGTTTATTTAGAAAAAAGAAACCCAGTCTGAGTTTCTTCACAAGATTATCTACATGGGCTTGAAGGAGAGAGAGTCATGGAGCCAGACACCAAGGTGTTTGTATGTGTGGACCACCTCCATGATGTTTCCCTCAAGAGTGGTCACTAAGGGCATCCGTAGAGGTCTTTTAGTTTGAAAACAACATTAGCTTAGTCTTGCCAGCATTGATGACCAATTTTAACTGCAGAAGTGTTTGGTGGACCTCATTAAAAGTTTCTGAGAGAATTCAGCAGCTTTAGTGGAGGATGTTCCAAAACCGTAAATGAGTGTGTCATCAGCGTAAAAGTGAATATTAGCATCCGACACATTTTGTCCTACATCATTAATATACATAATGAACAAGAGGGGTCCCAAGACCGAACCCCTCCGTCCCGCAGCGCTCCTCCATGAGAGCGGGGGTGGGGGTTGCACATGTTTCGCTGCCGTTTCTCACCAGTATCAGCTGATGGAGGGCTCTAGTTTCGTTGCACTGTTCATGTCAGCGGACATGGTAGGGTCGGGAGGGGGGCAGGGCGTGACGCTTAGCCTGGCAAGTAGCCAAACAAAGCCTGGCAGGCCACCAGGCTTGTAAAGCGCTGGGGGAAACCCTGCAATCAGAGGGCAGATTTCCTATTTAGGCTTTTTTGACTGATGTATAATATTTGACAGTTTTGGAATTTTCTCGTCCTTTGATGCTGAGTTTCCTGAAAGCAGCATATTTATTTACAATTTCCATGAAAGTCTCCTTGAAGAATGCCCATGCTAGCCCGACATCTGGTAACAAATCTATTTGCCTCCAATTAACCAGAGACAAATCATAATAAGCTTGTTCTCTGAAATGATGTGTGGTTTAGATTTAGGCATTTTAGTGCTCCTGCAAGTGGCAACAACACAACGATCACTCAAGTCATTGCAGAAAATGCCTAAAGATGATAATTTATGAGGGACATTTGTTAAAATTAAATCAATCAAGGTGCACTTATCAGGATTCTTAAGATTGGGTCTTGTGGGTTGGTTGACCAACTGGCTAAGATTTATGGAGCTTTTGAATTGATCTGAAACTGCATTTTGCCAGTCCCAGTTGAATCACCAGCCAATATGAGTTCATTATCATTTAACTTAGACAAGAGATGCTTTAAGGATGATAATGCCTCCTTGGAAGCTGATGGAGGCCTACCGCACCCAGCAACCCAGTTATAGAAAGTGATTTGGCAATTTACACAAGACAAAAACTCCATTTGTTTACAGATGGACTATTGATGCATTCAATCTTGATCTGATATGAATAGCTACACCCCAACCTTTGTTCGGCTGGTCTGTGTGATAAACATTGTAACCAGCCATGTTAATATCCTCATTAGTTATGGATTTAGTCAGCCAAGTTTCAGAAATGATTACAATGTCTGCAGCTGTTGATTTAATCCAGGTTAGAATTAGTGCTGCGATAAGTATCCCTCGTTCTGAGCATATTCACCAAGGGGTCATGGTCCCAAGTCCAAAACAGCCAGAAAAATCTATCAGGCTATGAAAATTATTATTTTCTTCATCTTACAAAGCAGAATAATGTTTTTGAGCACAAAGTATCCTGCAGAAATTAGGTACCAGGAAGGTGTTGAAGGCTGTTAGATTCTGGGGTTTGCAGCAGGGCCAGCCTAGGTTTAAGGGCATGATCCAGCTTTTACGTCCTCTCGAGCCAAACAAACTATCTTCAATCTCCTATCTTACAAAACATCAACTCAGTAGAATAATGCTTATGAGCGGTTCAGCAGTTGATCCAGGTCACAGGAAGGTGTCGAAGGCCCCGTCCCCAGGTGTTGTATTTAGCCCCTACTTGACAACAAGATAAGCCACACAGCCCAGGCTTCAAGTACCGAAAACAGGCCCGGCCCAGAAAGTTAAAGCAGAACCAGGCTTTGTGACTGCAGCTGGGTCAAGTAATGGATGCCACGGGAAAGTCAGGATCCAAGTGGGCACAGCAGACACCAGCCAGCTTGACTGGACTAGCAATCCAGTCCTAAAATGATGGAAAGCCCAGTAGGCAGTCGGAAACAGATGGAGCTAGGCAGCCACCAGCAGAATTCCAGGATAGGGCCAGGCAGGAACCAGCAGAACTACAGCCAAAAATGGTGAAAGGCTCTTAAGCCGGGCGTACACTGTGCGACTTTTTCACTTTTTTGAGCCGATTTTCCACTCGTGCGAGAATCCACAAGATCGGGGCGAGTTTTGCGCTGAGCGTCGTGTAGTGTACAAGAGGCGATTAACACCACGTGACCAGCTACCGATCAGTGATCGTGAGCTCGCACGGACTTCTGGCGTGTTTGATATTTTGCTCGTCCCTCGTGAGGGTATCGCACTGTTGAAGCGGCGCTGCGACCCAAAAACTATCAGAACCGCTCACGGCGCATGCGCAATCCTGCATCAACATCAATCGCCCGCTATTTCCTTAATAACTCACGTTGTTCGTTTTTGTTTCTACACGTTTTTTTTACACAAAGATTGTCAAGAAAGCGTGTTTGTCGTGTTCATGTCAAACTAAACTGATCACAAAACACAGATTTACTTTCTTTATTTCGTTTTCCTCATCCAACCCCCATAAATCCCTGTGTGTCCTCCTGCAGCACTCCAGAAGGACAACAGGCAAGACAAAAAGTCTGACGTGTTGAGTAAAAACTGCCATTTTTAGCATATTTTTAGGGCCGACGTGTCGCTACCAGACGTACAGTGTGAGCACATGACTCGTGAGATCTGCCCTGCGAGGAAGTCGTACAGTTTGAGCCGAAGCCGAGTGCTACGAGTGCAAAAGTCTCAGTGCCCGCCCGGCTTTACCAGGGCCAGTCAAGGTCCAAGCCACAGACAAAGGAAGGTCAGGTCAAGGCAAGAAGGGTCCAGACTGAATATGGTTGAAGTTTGTAGGGTGCTGTAGTCTGAGAAATTTGGTATCAGCCACTCCACACAGCAGGCCTTTGTTCTTTA